ACACTCATATTTATAGGTTTATGCAATCTTCTGTTTTATGGTTTTAATATGAATACTGTCAGTTTGTTCGCATATTCATTTTTTTTTTTGAATAATTTTAAATTTATATTACAATAATATATTCTATCAATTTAAATGAATGAATTTCGTTTATATTAGTAAGAAAACAATATCATCTATTTCATTAAGATTTTGAACTCTAAATGTCATTAATATTTTGTAGCATTAGGGGTTGAAAATACATAATTTATCCTTAAATATTTTAGAGGAAAAAATCAGTAGACATTGTATGATTATGATTTTACTATAACATTTGACTACTTAAAATAAAAATTGTATAAAATTAATAAAAAAATTAAGTAAACCACTTACATGTAATGTGTTGATTGTAAGGTGTGACTGACTAAATGCTACATTGATCATGAATAAATAGAATATTGAATTTATAATAGAGGGAATTCTTATGTTTAATTTAATGTCTTAAAGTTTTGGATTGAAATATCTTCTCCATCTCTCTTATACTCATGGATCATTAAGAGTTTTTTTTGATACTTTTGATTACCTTGTAAGGATATGTACAATAGTTTATATATAATTTTTTTTTTCATCTTTTATACTTCACATCATATTCTCTCTCTTCCACCTAATAATTTAACACACATTCAACTTTTACTCACTATAATTGTTTTGATTAATAAAATTCAACACCTTACTCACCACTTTTATTTTATATTTTTATTTTCTTTTATGTTTTTTGTTTAATAAAATCGATTTTTTTCTGTATCCAAATCAAATAAACCAAGTCTCTATTCATAAACAAAAAATAATAAATTTTGGTGAAAAAAATAATAATTTATTATAAAATAATTGATCCCAAATAATTATGATGAGATAAAAATCTAAAATATCACTGCAGCCAATAAGATTTTGCCAAATATTTTGGTGCCTTCCACTTCTTCCTCATTCAATATGTTAAATTTTTCAACACCAATTAATCCACCTCACTTTCGACGCTCTCTTCATTACCTCGTTACAACTATTCAAACTACTTAATTATTTTTTCAACATCCACTATCAATAATGTAACTCCTAATTTCTAAATTGAGTTATAGTAAGATATTTGTGCCTTTACACATATCAAATATATTTTTTATGTATATTTTAAATAAAATTTATATATTTCAAACTATAAAATGATAATACTTACTATTTAAAAAAATATTTAAATTTATATGTTGTTATAAGATAATCTAGATGGTTATAATTTTAACTTATAAAAAATATAACATAACTATTTAAAATAATAATAAATTGTATTCATATTTAAATTTTTTATTAATTTATAAAAAATAATACTTAACTATTTAATAAAAAATTTCATATACGAATTTGTATATTATTATAAAAAGTTTATATATTCTTAACTTCTAGAAAAGTATTACTTAAATTTTTTTAAAACAAAATATTGTTGATATTTAAATTTATTGTTGTTAATTGATAATATAAATATTTCTAATTTTTAAAATATGCATATTTGATTAAAATAAATCTGATTTTGAAATTTACCCAATATTTTAAATAATACTAGATTATTACATCATATGAAATGAATATATAACATATAAATTATTAAAGAAAGTCTCATAAAAAATAAGAGTTGAACTTGAAAATAAAATGACTTAGTGATGATTGTGGTAGAGAATGATTTAAATAAAATGAGTTATTGGTATAAGAGTTTAAATTATCAATTATTTTTAAAAAAATTTATAAAGAAAAACTAATAGAAACATTTTGAAATTATAATTTAGTATGATTAATTTTATTTTTGGGTTCAATTGACCAAGTACATTTCATATTTAACTTCGGTACTTTATACACAATCACTTATGTTCATCTATAGATTCTTTAACATTTGCTATTTTGGTGATGATAAAATAAAATCCACTGCAATATTTGGTCCAATCCATTGCAGTAAATCGAATACTCATACAATATCAAGATTAAACAATTTCAAAGAAATAGTAACAAAATGTAACATAAAAAAACAACAAAAAGCAAAAAAAAAAAAAAGGATTACAAATGATCCCAGTCAAAATGATTAACTCAAAGAATGTGGATATTTTCACCACTAATAATGAATCATGTAACGTAAACAAAGTCATTGGTTGAATCAATGAAACAGACTCACTCACTCACCAAACAAAATGACTCATCAATAGTACATTCCTGGTTGAGAAGGTACACCAGAGGATTGAACCCATGCTCCTTTCAAGAAATTTTGTACTGTGTACTTGATAGCCTCTTCTTTGTTAATAACCTTATATCCTGGCCATTTGATTCTTGCACTAGTACTTGAACCCGGTCCAGAGTTATTAAACTCCGCGTAATACAATGTATCTAACGCGAAGGTTCCTTCCCATGGGGTCCATCCATCAGGATGAATAACCTCACCTATCTCAGTTTCCATTACTATTGTTCTTGAAAACTCCTTCCATGGTCTGCCAAGGTAACTTCTAATTTTTGTCGCCACAGGTACTAGTTTATCGTCGGCTTTGATTGTGCATTTTTGTAGAACTGTTCCTGTTGCTTGTTGTTTGTCCATTCTTCCTTGTGCTGTCACTATGTTCTGTTGGTTGTCCAATGGTTTTCTTACCACCATGATGCAGTTTTGGAATATCACTGCTGCGTCGCCGAAGATGAAGTCGATTGTTCCTGCTACGATGCAGCTGCGGTAGAATTGTCTGTGTGTTTGTGTGTAGAGCGTGTCTTGGTAACCCTCGAAACGACAGTTGGCGAAAATGGCACGGTCGGCTTGGACTCGGGCTGCCACCGCTTGATGTCCGTCTGGACCGGCTGTGTTCCTGAATCCCATTGCTAGACCCAAAAATCCTTCTCCTAGCACCACTGCATGTGCCATGCATACAAAATTATTTCGTTAATTATTATCGACCATATTATATACTTTCGTCTGATACTATTTATAAGTGTAGATTCACTGAATAAACAATGTATCAGAGAAAATATATTTAATTATTTTTAGACTTACCAAAGCTTGCGGTAAGGAAGGTTCGGACACCATCCCTGAAGTTTTTGTTACCGGTGATAATACTCTTTTGTGATCCATCACCATACATGGTTACATTTTGCATTAACTTGGTCACTGTCACGGTTTCGTCGTAAATACCTTCTTTAACATAAACGACATACCTGCATAGCATGAAAATGCGAGATATTAACAATGAGGCGTGGTGTGATATGATTTGATTGGATGCATGGGTAAAAATGTTTTATGTATACCTTCCGGGATAGATTGCGGGGATGGCTGCCAAAGCTTCGGAGATGGTTTTGAAGTCACCACTTCCGTCTTTTGCAACGGTGACATTAGGTTTAGGCCTAATATCAGAAGCCTTCAAGACTCTTCTTTCTTCGGGATGGATCCATGAAGGTAAGCCTTCGGAATCCAAAGAAGCGACAGGGGAGTTATCGGCTAACAACAAACGGCCGCGCGCAAGGGTCTGAACGGTAGAAAGGAATGTAGAAACCTGAGCCACAATAGCAAGAGAATTGCTGACAAATTCCTTAGAATCATCGAAGAGTTTCTGAAGATCTGTCTTCGTTTTTCCTTCGGGAAAACCATCCACACATGTTTGTTGGAAAGAGATTACAGCACTTAACCAACTGTTCAGATCAGGTGCTTTTGAAGAAAGTTTCTTGAATTCGATTTCTCCAAGTTGACTGATAGAGGCTTCTAAATCCTCCCTAGCATCTTGAATAAGCTGTTTACAATCCTCAAATGCGCCTTTCTCTTGTTCGGTATTGAATTTGAACGAGTTCGTTTTGTTAAACGCTTTGTTAACTTCCTCTTGGACGATTTTAATGTAGACTTTGAGAAGATCTTTCGGGTGTTGAAGTTTCGGATCCTCTTCCACTGCTTTGTTAAGAGGACCTTCACATTTTTCTTTGTAATCCGCGGTACTGCATACTAATTTCACTATCTTTTCTGAATGCGCAACGTGTTTGTTGGTGTTAGAAGGTGTAGATCCTCCGTTTTTCGTGTCTTTATCATTAAGACCACCGTATTTTGTGGTGACAACGAAGAATGCACAACCTATCATACCAACTAGGACAACCGTAGAAATAACACCGATGATAATTCTTTTCTTCAGTTGTTGTTTCTTCTCATTCCTTCGTCGTTCTGTGATGAGGTCAAAATCTTGAAACGCCATTTTTTTTTAAAGATTAAATTAAAATTAATATTTTATTCTAAGGCAGAGGAGTCTCTGCCTTAGTGACAATCTTCACTCCAGTCACGAAAAAATATAAGAGAAATAAAGATTGTGATCAAATGAGAGATGATTTCGACTCCTTTTGAAGTAGGTTTGGTTCATCATTTGCAACTTTAACGTGGTTTTTTTTCCCTTCATGGAAACACTAATATTAGAACAATGGATGAGAGACATTTTAGGTGTTCTAATTTTAGAAAAAACAGTGGTCAAAGGTTGTTCCATGTTAAAAATAACATGATCTCTTGTTCATTTTTAACCTTACTTTCCGCAAAACATTCACACCCTTCACAAAACAACTTCTTTCAATACCATTCTCTCCTTTTTCTAAGGAACTAAAAGTAGAGTTGAAGTAAATCAAGTAACACAAACCAAACATAGCATAGTTATTTTAAAACTAAAATAAAACTAGGAACATGTTATTATTGTATGACAAAAAATAACTATAATACATTAGTTATATGCTTTTCGTCTTAGATCAAGATCAAACAATTTATAGTCTCACCAAAAAATGCAAGAATAATACGTAGCAACAAAATAACACTTTACAAATAAAAATCGCTAACTTTCTCGTGTATGGCCGGCCAAAATATAATTTTAATGCATTCTTCTGCATCGTATATAGACAACTCCTCTTTTCGCAGCACTTAATAAAACTAAAACATTAAAATCAACCATGCAATTTTTGAAGACATTAGTAAAGACTAAAGTTATATATCAAATCCCTTCGTCATAAGGAAATGAAGTAGATCCAATCCAAGCATCACCAATGATGAACTCAGAAACAGTGAAATTATATGCACTATCAAAATCCATTAAATGGTATCCTAACCATTCAACTCGGTTATCGGTCGCAGAACCGGGTCCATAGTTTGCAAACTCTCCATAATACAAAGTGTCCAATTCTTGTTCATCATGAGAAGAAGACCACTTTGTCCATCCCATTGGATCAATAAACACATCAATGTAAGACTCAATGAAAACAGTCCTAGAATAAGCCCTCCAAGGCCTTCCAAGGTAACTCTTGATGTTGTTAGAGTTGTTATACAAATCAGTAGTAGCTAAAATTGAACAGTTTTGAATTGAGATGCCAGTGTCTTCATCAGGAGAATCTCTTGACTGTGCTGTGATGACAGTGAATTGATCGGCTAACGGCATTCTTGAGACAATATTACATGCTTGGAAAACTACTGCTGCATTTCCAAATATGTAATCTATGGTCCCAAAAATGTCACATTCGCGGTAGAATTGTCTAAAGGAGTGAACATAAAGTGTGTCTTGGTAACCATACATTGCACATTTGTAAAAAGCTGTTAAGTCTGCATTCACTCTTAGAGCAACTGCTTGATGCTTCTCCGGTCCTGCCTTGTTTTCAAAAGCTATATCGCGCGCTAGAAAGCCTTCACCAGAAACCGCTGACAAAATTTGCAATTTCAAATATAATTTTAGAATATCGATAACGTAAGTGACTAAATTGATACATATGATCCTATAATTTTAAGGACTAATTCGAGAACGGACTAATGACCAAGATTAGTAAGAGTGGGACACATCACTGCTACCCAAAAAACGTAAGACTTTAGTTATATAGATCATCTGACTCGTCTATCCTTCCTATACAGTCAATTCATAATCAACGTGAAACTAACCACAAACACATGAAGTTATATTAGGCACATCAATCAATACCTATGAAACATTTATTCTAACACAGACACTAGGACACAACACAAACATTGACACTCCAACACTGATAATGTAAAAAATATAGTCCCAAAATATGAAGTGTGAAATGATTACCTAAAGTTGCAGATCTGAATGTAGTCCAGCCATCAACAACACTTCTATTGCCAGTAATGAAAGTAACATCACTTCCATCACCAAGTAGAACAATATTGGTTTTATAACTCAAAATTTCAACATTTTCTTCATACACACCTTCTTTCACATAGATTATTGTCCTATCATAGCTGTTATTCGGAGCAAAGTTAATGGCATCATTGATGGTGCTAAAGTTTCCACTTCCATCAGCAGCCACAACAAGCACACCATCAGTACTTTGCAACAACCGACCACGATCTTTTCTCGACAACCACGATACAGCATCGATTAAACGCCGTTTTTCACGTCCTCTCGAAGCTCTGATCTCAGGCTTAGGAAGCATTGCCAGAGAATTACTAACATGTTTGTAAGTGTTGATCACTGAATCAACTAGAACTTGCTTCATTGTACCTGAAGCAGAATCTAAGCTTTCTAAACATGTGTTCTTGTTGGTAAGTGCTGCACTGAGATAAGTTCTTGCATCAACTAAGTTTCTAGTGTTTGAGGAAGTGATTCCAGATAGTGATCTTTTCAAGGAAGTTAAGGTTGATTGATGAAGCTCTTTGCAATCTTGTAACACTCCTCTTTTGTTTTCTATGATGTTTGAGTGCTGTTGTGCAGCATTGTTGAATTGGATAGATAGTTTGGTGGTTTCGGATATTGATAGTTGAAGGGAATGAAGAAGGATGTTGATGATGGTTGGGTTTATGGTTATTGAGATGGAAAGTTTTGATGAGTTGAAGCAAAGTTCAGGGTGTGGAGTGGTTTTGCAGAAGGATTTTAGTGAAGTGATTTTTGAATGTAGTGTTGATGAGTTGGTGAAAGATGAAGTGGTTGAGTAGAAGATTGTTAAGAGAAGGAAGAGTTTAGAGGAGAATTTAGCCATGAATTCACTTGAATAACAAGAGGAGAAAAAAGAACTGTTGAAATATATTCACTGGTTTGAAGAATTTTAGTACTTGAATGAGTCACTCCTTAAGTTAATTACATGTCACTGGTTCGATTACATGTCATATATTAAATACGATTATTTGGTTTCACAAGCCAAAACAAAAATTTTAGTTGACTTAGTGATAGGAAATTGTACTGAGATGATATGGTAGACAAAACATTGGATTTGTCTCCTTTTTGGCTCATTAAAAAGCCGGTGTTTTTTTTTTTAATTAGAGGAAACTTTTTATGCATAATTTATGTATAACTTGACAGTTACATACATATCTATAATAAGTGTGATATCTATACATGCATGCGGTAGGTAGGACACGGATATGCATAGGTGTGTAGAAAAAGAAGTATAAACAAACATTTGAATTTATGCCCACTTGATCTAAATCATGAAACAAGTCACGATGTGCCGGTCACTTTGGTCCACAGGGTCTGTTAAAATTTGGCAATCCAATTTGTTTTTATATAGATGGAAATGAATATTACTGTTATAAAAGTATCCCGTCACTCAGTTTATATATCACGGGTCACTAGTTAGTACACTAGATTTGGCATACAAGAGTGTTTATATGTAATGCATATATAAAAGTAAGGTAAGAAAATATTGACAATAATAATTTGTTTCCGTAAATACCACTAAGTTCTTATGAATCTAGTCAGATAAAGTCATACAATTTAAGTAACCTAAGTTTAAAGTCAAGTTAATTAGGATTTGTTATGTTAATTAATTAAAAGTGGTTATTAATGGCCTTCATGCGTTTGCTCAGAATGTAATTGACGTTTGGAGAACCGTTCACAATGATGCCAAAAAGAATAATTGTAAGGCGGCGTTTTGTGTTCAATTGGTTGTAGACGCAATATATTTCGATTGAATTTCTCATGTTAAATCGGCGAAGGAGACATGAGAATTCTTGTCAAGTATTACGAAAGAGGTGAAAATTATCAAATTGCAGGCGCTACGAAGACAATATAGATTATTTCAGATGAGAGAAGATAAAAATATCGCATGCTATGTCGTGAAGGTGCAAAATCTTGTTCATCTCATGAAAAGTCGTGGTGAAGTTCTAACTGATAAGATGATAGTTGAGAAGGTAATGCATATTTAGCCTCTCACTTTGATGACGCTATTATAGCTACTAAAGAATCCAATAATCTTGAAACCATGAAACTGAAAGATTTGGTTGGTTCGTTGGAGACACATGAGTTACAAATTGTTGAGAGGAAATTGGTCTAAGATTCAATACAAGCACTACAGGCACAAACATGGAAAAACATGTTGGTTCCAACAAGCTCAAAGGCAAAGGAGACAAGACTCAAAGCAAGAAGTCTTGTGTGAATCCTCAAAAGCATAAAGCAAGTGATAAGGCCTTTGAATCCTCGAAAAGAGGAGAAGGAATCTCATATCAGAAAGACAAGAAAGGTGTGGAGTGCTATAACTGTGAAAAGTGAGGTCACTTGGCCAAGAGTTATTGGTACAAAAAAGACAAGGAAGCGATAAAAGACAAGGATGAGGGAGCAAACCTTGCATGTCAAGATTCAGATGATTATGAAGATATGGTGGTTATTGATGCATATGTAGATGAGCATGTCAACACCAAGATATGGTTCCTCGACCCAGGCTGCTTAAATCACATAACTGGTAGAAAAGTGTGGCTAACAGATTTCGACGAGTCGAAGAAGAGCAAGATCAATTTTGCAGACAATGGCTCGGTAGAAGTAGAAGGTACTAGCGACATAGTTATTCAAAGAAGAAACTGAGCAAAAGCTATGATCAAAGATGTACTATATGTACCTGGAGTGAAGTGCAATTGGCTAAGTGTTGGGCAACTGGTCGAAAAAGGTTTCTCATTGGTTATGAAAGATGGAACTTTGGAACTGTTCGACACTCATAATAGTCTTGTCTTAAAATCTCATCTTTCAAAGAATAGGGCATTTAAGACCATGATCAATTCAAATGAGGTATAATGCCTAAAAATATTTGTCAACCACAAGAATAGTTGGTTGTGGAATTTGAGGTTTGGACATCTAAATTTTCGGTCATTAAAATCAACTGATTACTCAAGATATGGTAATTGGTATACCTAGTCTTGTAATGCCCGACAAACTCTGCGAAGGCTGCTTAGTAAGAAAGCAACCCAGAAAGTCTTTTGTTTCGACTATGCCAATGAGATCCTCTTGCATACTCAAAGTTGTACTTCAAATTTATGTGGCCCGTTCGAGGAGCATATCATTGGTGAAAACAAGTCTTTTGTTTCCTTTGTCAATGAGTATAGTTGAAAGCTTTGGATTTATGTGATCAACCAAAAGATGAAGTATTTGCAATTTTTAAGAGATTCAAAATACTTGTCGAAAACTATAGCGAAAGGAAGATCAAGGTTCTGCCAACAGATGGATGTGGCAAATATACATCAAAGATGTTTGAATACGTTTCTATAAAACATGGTATTGATCATGAGGTAACTGCTCCTTATACTCCTCAACATAATGGAATATTAGAAAGAAGAAACATGACCATATTAGATATGGTGAGATTCATGTTGAAGTAGAAGAATCTGCCAAAATTCTTATAAAGTGAAGCAATCGCCACTACTATTTATATTCTGAATAGGTGCCTTACCAAGAAACTGAAGAACAAGTTTCTTGAAGATGTATGAAGTGGAAAACGACCATCAGTGAGTCATCTGAAGGTGTTTGGATCTATTTGTTACAAGCATGTCCCTAATGCGAGAAGAAGAAAGCTTGGTGACAAAAGTGAACCTATGATTCTGGTGGGATATCATAAAATTAGAGCATACGGACTATTAAATCCAGTTAATGAGAAGATCGTGATGAGTCAAAATATCATGATTGAAGAAAATAATGTCTAGGATTGGAATCAAGTAAATCCATTTTCACAAACCATTATGCAAGGATACAAATATACATTTGTGGAATTCCATCTTCACCCTCCAACATATCTTTTCATTGCCTATATAAAGGAGCCTTAGAATAATGGAAAAACAACAATTTCTACGTGAACATTGCAATATTGTGAAACTTTTGAGAGAAAGAAAATCATACGCGCAAGGAACTTTTGCTCATACACTTTCATAGAAAACATTTTATATGTAAATCTTTATAATACATTTGCATAACCTGATTTCATAGAAGCAACTTTGTAACACACTTTGTTTCTAAAATTTTAATTTGTATTTCCTTAAGAGACTAAGGTATAGTCAGAATTTTTCAAGAAGGAATTGATAATAAGTCTTTGTGGTTGTAATCAATTTGGTTATAATGAATTAAGTCATTGTGAGAGGTGAAATCTCCTTGGAGAATGGACTGGAGGTACCTTCGTTAAGTGCAAACTAGGAGAAAAATACTTGTGTTCAATATTTTTATTCTAAGTTTTCTTCTTTATGTTTTATGTATCAACATTTTTCATTCTAGAAACCATTTCAAACCCCCCATTTCTTGTGTTTCCTTAACATTCAATTGGAATCAGAGCCCCAATTTTGGTTTTGATTGTTTATCAAGCACTTCACTATGTCAGATAAAGATCCATATTTTTGAAACAAATGGCAGGAGTCCATCCACCAGCTGAACCCATTGCTAATAACGACAGAGATTACTATAGTGCTAACCCCCTAGTTTTTATAGAGAAAAATTTGACTATTGGAAAGATAAAATTGAAAGTTTCTTTCTTGGTCATGATGTGGATCTATGGGATATGGTAGTTGATGGCTACATTCATCTTGTTGATGTTAGTGGTAATAAGTTAGAAAGAATAAAAATGACTGAACAACAAAAGAATGACTACAAAAATCATCACAAAGTAGAACCATTCTACTGAGTTCTATATCATATTATGAGTACGATAAGATTACAAATAGAGACAAAGCTAAGTGTATATTTGATTCGTTAAAGATGACTCGTGAAGGAAATGCTTAAGTGAAAGAAACAAATGCGCTTTCTTTGATACAAAAATATGAAGCCTTCAAAATGGAGGATGATGAAACAGTTGAGAACATGCTCCCAAGGTTTCAGACTCTAGTTGCAGGAATGAAGATTCTGAATAAAAGTTTTTCTACTGCAGATCATGTTAAGAATATTATTAGAAGCTTACCCAAGAGATGAAGGCCTATTGTAACTGCATTGGAGTTATCTAAATATCTGAACAACACAACACTTGAAGAATTTGTTAGTTCTTTAAGAAGTTACGAGATAGAGCTTGAAGAGGATGAGCCTTAAAGAAAAGTTAAATTTGTGGCTCTGAAATCTACGGTAAAGTATGAAAAGACTAAATCCTTTTAAGTTGAAGAGGAAGAGGAATATGAAAAAGATTATGAAGAAGAAGATGAGTTGTCTCTTATTTCCATAAGAGTTAATCAACTTTGGAATAATAAACAAAGCAAGTTCATAGGATCAAGAAGGATACATGCTCATTTCGAGTCTACATCTGGATTGAATAAGTCAAGTGCTAGTAAAGACATTACCTATTATGAGTCCAAGGAGCCAGGACATTATAAAAATGAATGTCCCAAGCCGAGAAAAGACAGACCAAATAAGAAATTTGTTGTACCCCAAAGTTTTCCGTCCTATTTTTCTTCAAGACATTCTCAAAATGCTCTCAAGTACTCAAGCCTACTCAAGGGTTGACCAGTCAAATGCCCCTCCTAAGCAATGGGTCTACAACTATGGTTTTGAGTTTCTCTAGGAAGATTGGGTTTCAAGGTTCTCAATTGATTTCCATGGTTCTCCATAGGTTTCAACAATTTTCATGTCAAGTTTCAAGTCTCGCATCACAAGTTTGCTCAGTCAATGGCTCAGATGATTAAAAATCAAATATATTGGGTAAAAAGTCAATTATGGTAAACATATAGTCAAACTTTAAGAATTTTGGTCAAAATTAACATTTTGAAGTGATATTCATCATTTGATCAAGGGTTGATCGTGATTCCT